AATGGTTTGCGTGCACACGCCGCGCCGTCACATACAATCACTGGGCTCATTGGAAGGTTACCCGTAAGCTAGTCGCGCCCCTGGAGTGAGGGGAACTGCTGGCGACTGGGCTTGAGGGGCCTTCGGTGGATGTCCGTGTTAAATGGTTTGCATGCACACGCCGCGCCGTCACATTTAATCACTGGGCTCATTTGAAGGTTACCCGTAAAGCTAGTCGCGCCCCTGGAGTGAGGGGAACTGCTGGCGACTGGGCTTGAGGGGCCTTCGGTGGATGTCCGTGTTTAATGGTTTGCGTGCACACGCCGCGCCGTCACATACAATCACTGGGCTCATTTGAAGGTTACCCATAAAGCTAGTCGCGCCCCTGGAGTGAGGGGAACTACTGGCGACTGGGCTTGAGGGGCCTTCGGTGCGTGTAAAATGGTTCGCGTGCACATGCCGCCCTCTCCCTAATTCTCTTCTCCCACCCTGACGATGACCGCGACACCATCACGACCTGATGGTCGCCGACAGAGGCACTGGAACTTGGGAGGTTGCCTCGATGTGTGCAGTTGGTTGAGTTTGCTCAGAACTGCTGCTCTGTTGACAACTGCGCTCTTTTGTGGGTCAATTGATGTTGTTTGTGTGTGTGTGTGTGTTTTTTCCTTTCTCTTGTGCCTGTGCCACTTGTGCTTCTTTTGCTGTGAATGTTCAACTGGCCTGAGCTGCTCGATGATGGCCTGTCTTGTTCAAGTTGAGGCTCCTTCTTCGTAGGCTGCTTTGTAGGAGCTTCTTGGATTTTTACCTCAGAACTATTACCATGGATGTGAGCCAGCCTAAGTGGCTGATCCTCCTCTTGCTTGTGTCATGCACTGGGGTACTCAGTGTAACGCAAGAGCAAGTGAAGCAGTGGCTACGCGATCATCCTGAGGAGAAATCGCAGATTTGGGCAGAAACCAGGGAAAGCTCGGCTTATTTGCGCCGGGTTAGGGAAAAGGTTCGTGCCTGGGTGGCGTCCCAGGAAGACACAGAGCCTCCCACGCAAGTCCCCCAGCATTCTCCCCCTCCAACTGATTCGCAAGTTGCTGCTGGTGCTGCTGATGCTGCTGACACTGCTGATGATGCTGACACAGCGCCTAGCACACAGCCGGCATCTGCTGAAGTGCATACAACGTGGCCACTTCAACAGGCCTTCCAGCGAGGGGCTAGTTCTCTGGCAAGCCAGTTGCTAGACACCTCACAGGATGCACAGCATCACCTCCCTCACGAGGCAACCCAGGCTGATGGGGAAACAGGCATGCTTGGAGCATCGCTCAACTCTCCCGGCCAAATGGTGCCAACACCGCCGTGGCGTGTTCGGGGTATGCAACCAGGTGAAGCCCCCCTTGTTTCCCCTGTGCAGGGGAGGATGCTCGGCGCGTCGTCTGTGCATAGCACTACACTGGATAGTGAAACGTTGTCAGGGGGCAATCAGTTTCAGTCCTGAAGCTCACAATGGCGTGTCCATACTGGGCAACAACAAGGACCTGCTCTTGTGGCTCCTCCCTCCAGGGGAACAGTCTGGTCATGCCCAGGGTCAAATGTGATGATGGCTGCTGAGCAACAGACCATTCCGCAGCAATGTGTTCCTCCTGAGCCTGGTGCACAAGTCTGTATGCAAGTATGCCATCTTGAAAACGGTATGCTCCCGGATTTGGACACGGTCCTCTCCTGGATGGCCCAATTTCCAACTGCAGGCCCGCTATGGCAGCAGGAGGGGCAAGCGGACTATCTCTATGATTCTTCCGGATATAGGAGCATTGGTGTGTACTGCAGAGGTCCTCGCGGTGGCTCTGTGAATGTATATGCATCAGGGAAGGTTGTGGTACAGGGGAACCCTGCCACCCGTCTGCAACTTCTTGGAATGATTAGAGACTGGGCTGTCCCCCGCAACTGTGCCACTCCTGCAAGTTCGTCTCGCTCACGTCCCTCTCTTGCCAGATTTCGTGTACAGGGCCATGGCCAACCGTACTAATGCCCTCAACAAAGGCGTGAAGCTACACAGTACTTTTTGGAGCACCAAAAGTATGTCATGCTAGCTTCTGCCTGTACCTGCGTCCTCCCCAGTCTCTCCGCTGTGGTGCTGCTGGTGTGGGGCAGGCGTTGAGATTGCGTTGCTTGTGAGTGTGTGTGTGTGTGGGTGTGTGGGTGTGTGGGTGTGTGGGTGTGTGGGTGTGTGGGTGTGTGGGTGTGTGGGTGTGGGTGTGTGGGTGTGTGGGTGTGTGGGTGTGTGGGTGTGTGGGTGTGTGGGTGTGTGGGTGTGTGGGTGTGTGGGTGTGTGGGTGTGGGTGTGTGGGTGTGTGGGTGTGTGGGTGTGTGGGTGTGTGGGTGTGTGGGTGTGTGGGTGTGTGGGTGTGTGGGTGTGTGGGTGTGTGGGTGTGTGGGTGTGTGGGTGTGTGGGTGTGTGGGTGTGTGGGTGTGTGGGTGCGTTTGTTTGTGTGTTTGTTTGTCTGTTTGCTCTGTGTGTGTGTGTGTGTGTGTGTGTGTGTGTGTGTGTGTTTTTGTTTTTTTTAACCCTGAAAATGCTCCCTGGATGGCACTTCTGGTGCGCGCCAGTGTGCTACAGACATGATGTTCTCCGCCCTTTGTCCTGTGCGTCTGTGGAGTTGATTGCAGCGGCGCATTTTACAGGTGATTGCTAGAGGCATGCTATGGGTGTCCGAGCGGACCCTGCTGTGTAAGAAGAGCCCTGAGCATGAGCTTGCCTGGCGAAGTCAAGAGTCTGGTCAAACGATGTGTCCTGCAGCAAAAGCTGCTTCCAGGCGTTGTGCGTCTTCTAAAAGAACATTGGCGCAGCATGCTGCAGGAGGCAAGCTGGCTTATCGATCGCGCGCAAGGCATTTTGCAGTTCTTCGTCTCGAAGGGTGACTGCTTCAGTTTGCTGGCCAAAGCGCTACATGACACATTGTTGCTTGGCAGGGGGCATGCGCTTGACTGTTTTTCCCACTATAGTAGGCTGGAACTACAGCCACAACCGTGCGCTCGTGAAATGCTGCGTATAGGGCTGGGGTCGCCTAGCGTGTCTGGGTGTCTTGCTGCGCGTGGGGAACACATCAAGTGGAGCGTTTTCACGCATGCAAAAACTGGAGTTTTACAAGCTTTTCGAGCACTTAACTTGGACATCATCATTTTGCCAGGAGCGCGGTTGCCTGGTAGCTTCAAGCCACCTGAAGACTGGCACTTGCAATCTTTTTGCAGAAAAGGCCATAATTTTGACAGCTGCGCTGTCTTGTGGAAAAAGGAGTTGCTGGGCATTGTTCCGCTGAGCAATATAGGTGGGCCACGAAGGGTTCACTTGGCTATTCCAAGGATGCATAAACCACCGCTCTTTGTCAGCGCGGTCTATTTGCCTCCGGACAATGCTGAACATGGAGATGTGGCATGGTGTAATGAACTAGATGCTCTTGGCGCTGATTTCAGACAACTTGCATGTGAGTTTGATTTGCACGGGACGAGTCTTGATGTCCTATTGTTGGGAGACATGAATCTGCAACCAGGCGTGCTCGGTGCTGGGCCTGATCGAAGGGGGCGAAGGGAGCGACATTGGAACAGCTTCATTGAGACGCATAACCTCAGAGTTGCTAACCCCAGCCTGAGAAACTGTCCGGCAGTCCCAGTGGTGCTGCCGTTGCGACAGAAAACTGTGCACATTCGGCCTGGGGACACTCATCATGATATTGCAGGAGGGACGTCGCGTGCAATTGATCTTGTCGTGGCGTCACCTGCAATAGATGTTGAGGTCACTATCCACAACACCCTTAACTGTTGTAAGGAACATGCGTGCCAATGGCCGTTATGTCTTGAATATACGGGCGGCGACCATTTCCTGATGCACACAGATGTTTTTGACGATTTCCTCCTGCCTGACGATTGCTGTGCTGGGGGTATGCCCCTCTGGGTGCATGACGCACAACGGTGGCGAGCAGGGTGGCAAGCAGCAAGTCGGGCCCTGCACTCATTCAATCTTCTGCTGCAGCCTGTAGCTTGTGGCAAACAAGGTGTGCAGGACTGCTGCATGCTTGGAAAGAAGGCTGCGCAATGGCTTGGCAACGCAGTTACGTGGGTGCAGGCCCTCATCGCTGCAATTGTCTTACAAGGCTGGGTTGTGCGACCCTGGCTTGGACACAAGCAGAATGGCACTTCTGAACATGGGGACGTGGGATTGGAAACAGAGAACCCTTGGCTTCGCAAACTTGCTGCATCTTGCTCTCAAGGTGCTGCCCCACGCTCGCTGACAAACCGCTGCTTTCGCATTCTAAAGCCGGCGTCGCCTTCTCCTTTGCCGTGCATTATAAAAAATGGTGCATTGCTCACCGGTGAAGATGTCCATCGTGAATGGTGCAAGACGTTTCTGGGGCAAAGTGAATGGCCCTTTCCTTGGGATGTTGGCTTTGATGCCAGTGTTAAAGCATCGTGCCAACTTGAAAACCCGAGGGCGTGGGCTAATCGAGGACATGGTGTTTTCGATGCCCCGGTGCTACAAAGCGAAGTATCTCTCATTATGGGCAAATGGGCCAAGTCTTTTGCAACAACGCCGGACCTCGTGCCGAGAACCGCATTCACCACATGCAACCAGGAGTGGGATGTCTGCTGCTTTCTTCTCCTCAGGTTATTAGGGCCGGGGTGCCTAGCCATTAAACCAGACCTCTGGAGGCGGACTCTTGTTGTTCCAAAACATAAGCAGGGCCTCATTATTTCACCTGACAACTGGCGATTTCTGGAAGTCCGCTCCCAAATGGGACTTCTACAAGAAGCCGTACTCATCAATCGCATCAAACCCTGTCTACTGCAAAATCTTGAGCCAGGTCAGTCGGGCTATGTGCGTGATGTCTCAGACGCTCAGCTGCTTCTGCATGATCTCACTGCTGCACGGCGGGCATCAGGACTTCCTATCCTAACGGTCATGGGTGACCTGGCGCGTGCGTTTCCGAGAACGTGGCGTGATGACTTCCTGACTCAAGTTTGCTGTCAAGCGGGAGTCAATGGAGGAGGCCGCGGGCTACTTGCCGACATGCTATTCTGGGATGCTAAATCTGCATGGCATCTCTGCGCTGGCAAAATTTGAGGGCGTTCCAGAGGGTGGCGTTCTGGGGCCTGCCGGCTTCACGACGTGGCTGAACTCCCTCACCGTGTTCTTAAAAGACAGAGGGCATGGCCTGGGCATTGGCTGCGCCGTGCCTTCAGTCTGGAAAAACATCACCTGGCGATGGCAAGGCGCACCGGACGGCGATGCAGTGGAACAGCTGCTGGCAGGGCTTCGTGGCCATGTGCCTCTGCCCAATCCTGACAGCGTTCAGCACAATGATGCCTTAATGGCTTCATGCCTTCGCGCCATGGATATTGCGGCTCCTTCACGCATCAATTTGGTGTTGCACGCAGACGACCCTGTTATTGTTTGCTCAAGCCAGGGTGCTGCCATGGCAGTGCTCCATGATCTTGCAAGGTGGGCTTATGCGCACAAAGCTGCTTTCCATGTGGGGCCTGAGAAGACTGTTGTGCTTCTACCTGACGGTGACATGGATCCGCGTCTGGTTCTTCCGCTCATTGGTGCTGGTCCATGTCCCATACAGACAAAGACCAGGCACAAGTGGTTGGGGCTCGTGTGGCCTGCAAACCTTGATTTTGCTTCTGCGCTGGAGTCGGCCTTGCAGAAAGGAAACCAGCTTGTTGCTGACATTGTCAGTCTCCTGGACTCAGGTGGCCTGCCGCTTTGTTTCGCACTGTGTCTTTTTGACGCAAAAGTTGAGGGCAGCGTGCGTTTCGGGAGATGGCTGCTGGCCACTGCTCCAGGAGCTTTGGATAGGTATGATGCTGCCTACGACCGGTGGGCGTGTGCTCTTCTTCAAAGTCCTCCCTGGCGCTCTGCTGCCATAGCACACCTGGAGCTGGGCTGGACACTGTGTGGACGTCACCGCGCCATTCTTGACATTGCTGGAAGGCGGGCCAGGCTGTGGGCGCTGCCTGAGGGGGACATTTATGGTGAGGTCTTCATCAAGTCACACGCGGTGCCGCTCTCCTGGGCACGTAAGAGCTTATCCTTACTGGAAGAGCGTGATATCCCGGACTATCCCGATGCGGGCTGCAGTTCAGTCAAGTCATATCTCTCCATGGTCCGCTCTCTGCTGTCTTCTGCCGCTGCTGCTGCCCTCTGGTCGTCTTGCTCGGGTCACGTCGTTCCTTTTCCCTTCTCCTTGCTGTCGTCTGGTCCCTCCCCTCTCCCTGCTGCTCTCCTTTCTGTTTCTCTGCCGTGGGATGCTCTGCTGGGACATAGGGCCTTGTGTCGGCTGAGAGCTGGCACACTTGACTTGGCCCATGTAAATGGGAAGAAGTCCCGTGCCAAAGTTCGTTGCTGCCTCTTTGTGACAAAAAGACGTGGGCATCTTACATCCACGTGCTGGGTGAATGCCAAATCAGCTTCAGACCTGAGCTGTGCGATGCTGCCGAGCCTCTCTCCCCAAGGGAGCGGGCTTTGTGGCTGCTTAACATGCCTCCTCACGAGAGGCTCTTTCCAGCTGCTGCGTGTGTTGCGCTGACCATCGAGCGGGAGAGCAAACGCTTCTGGGAGCGAGCTGGCTAAAACTCCGAATGGTGTCGGGGCTCCACTTCTTCGGGCTAGCGTGACTTCCACTCACGCCCGCTGAAGATGTCGGGAGCAGGGACCCGTCCCCTTGTACGAAGGACTAGGAGTCCTCGCCCTCCGCTCTCCGCTGCTCCGGCTGAGGGTTGGCATGGGCTCTGTGCCCGGGTCCACACTTCCAGTCTGTGCTGCGTGTGCTGTGGGATGGACACTGTGAGGCTTCCCTGCCTCGATTGCCCGGCCCGCTTCGTGCTGACCGGCCTGCATCCATCCATCCATCCTAAACCCTAAACCCTAAACCCTAAACCCTAAACCCTAAACCCTAAACCCTAAACCCTAAACCCTAAACCCTGAACCCTGAACCCTGAACCCTAAGCCCTTAGCCCTAAGCCCTAAGCCCTTTAGGACATGTAGGATTCGGGCGGATTTGGGCTTCAGGGCTTTTGGGGTGGCTGCTTTCGTGGGGTTGGAACAGTGGGTCTCGTTTTTCTCTTCAGCATGTCCATAAGCCCAAAACCCAAAAACCTTAAACCCCAAACCCCAAACCCAAAACCCTAAACCCTGCACCGAAAAACACGGCTGCGCAGGCGGCGAGGAGGCATGGCTGGGTTAGGGTTTCGGGTTTAGGGTTTCGGTTTTAGGGTTTCGGGTTTAGGGTTTCGGGTTTCGGGTTTCACGTTTCGGGTTTAGAGTTTAGGGTTTAGGGTGTAGGGCTGAGGGTTGAGGGTTTAGGTTTCGACCTTTTACAAGCCTGAGTGCCCCCTAAGGCCACTGGGGTTTAGGGGCGGTTTGCGGTTTCGGGTTTTCTACACCTCAGAACCCAAGATCCGTTAACTTGAGACCTAAACGGCACAAGTAGGACTTAGGGTTTAGGATTTAGGGTTTAGGTTTTAGGGTTTAGGATTTAGGGTTTAGGGTTTAGGGTTTAGGGCAGTTCCTGTGATGGAAGAGCCACCAGGGTCGAGTGGGAGCTCTTTCACGTGTTTTCACCTTGTCGGGCCTATTGAGGCTTCATCCGGGTTCAAAATGTAGGGTTGTTTGGGCATGAGGATTTTGTTTAGTTTTAGGGTTGCCTCGGACCCCGCAAACCCTGCTTCGCACGCAGGAGGTGTCGAACGCGCACCAACAGCGTGGTGTCAGCACACATGGATCTAAGGCCTAAAGCCCTCTGTGTGATTTGGGTACCCTAAACATCAGGTGCCGTTTGATGAATAGGAGCTGCAACATAGGACCATCATGCATTGTGCGGTTGCCGAAGTCATTACAACAAGGTTCACCCCCTTACAATCCCTATACCGCTCCTAATCACAACTGCTCAAAAGCACACGTTCTGATTGAGTAGGTCCCTATGTTAAGCCCTAAACCCTAAACCCTAAACCCTATACCCTATACCCTAAACCCTAAACCCTAAACCCTAAACCCTAAACCCTAAACCCTAAACCCTAAACCTTAAACCCTAAACCCTAAACCCTAAACCCTAAACCCTAAACCCTAAACCCTAAACCCAGCAAGTGCATGATCTTTCTGACCTGGCCAGGGCAGCGATGGCTGAGATGGGCTTCGATTCCGTGCCGCAGCATGCAAAGAGAGAAGGCCTCGGGCCATTAGGGTTTAGGGTTTAGGGTTAGGGTTTAGGGTTTAGGGTTTCGAGTTTCGGGTTCGGAGAGTTATTGCCTGGAGCCCTGATACTTAGGGGCTGGGTAGGTAACCTTTTGCCTGTTTGGTTATGTAGAATCCTACTATATTGAAAAGGTTAACCTTGTTTTGGCTAGGGTATTCACCCCCCAAGGGTAACCAGCACAAATAGCCCCAAAAAAATTCTTCACAGAAATGTCTCCCAAAGCCCTTCCTCAACCACTCACCAAACCCGTAATTGCCAACACTTGTCCCTTTGTCACATAATCCCTATGTCATCATAGGGTGTAGGATTCAGGTCAGGGGTGTTTAGGGCTTTAGAATCCCAATAGAGCTGCAAGTTGCATGTGAGACTTTCAGGGCACCCGAAGCCCTAAACTGTAAGCCCGAAGCCCTAAGCCCTAAACCCTAAACCCTAAACCCTAAATCGAGCCAAACCCCCAAAACCCTACATTGGCTGAGGACTCAGCGGGTGGTGGTTCCGCCCGGTCCTTGGCAATTCTGGCCACCCCAGGGTGTGGGGTTGGTTTGGGGTTTAGGGCTTAGGGTTTGGGGTTTAGGGCTTAGGGTTTGGGGGTCTAGGGCTTAGGGTTTGGGGTTGGGGGTTAATTGAAATTATTCAGGGTTCAGGACCGGGGAAAGTTTCGAGGAAAGTTTCGAGGAGTTTCGAGGAGTTTCGTTTTTTTTTTGATTTTTTGAATAATTTCAAGTTACAGGGGGCTTGAGGGTTTAGGGTTTAGGGATTAGGGTTTAGGGTTTAGGGCCTAGGGTTTGGGGTTTAGGGTTTCGGTCCCTAAACCTTAAACGCAAAACCCTAAACCCTAAACCCTAAACCCTAAACCCTACACCTTAGACCTTTTTTCGGGCCAGGGTTTAGAGTCTGAGGTCCAGGATTTCTGTCTGCTTGACTTGGGCCTCCAGGAAGCTTGGCGGTCCCTTTAATCTGCCTTCGCAGGGAACGGCGGCCCTTTACAAAACGGACGTAGGGTTTAGGGTTTAGGGTTTAGGGTTTAGGGCTTGGGGTTTAGGGTTTCGGGTCGCGGGTTTTGGGTGTAGGATGTGGGGCTTAGGGTTCCTTTGCAAGACGGGCCCGCAGTCGCAAATGTAGTCCCCACCATGGTTACCACCACTGGGCTAAGTCGGTTTCGAGGGGACTGGTGCCTGCAATGCCCACCCTAAAGCCTAAACCCTATTAAACCCTACAAAACCCTATAAACCCTATAAACCCTATAAACTATAAACCCTATAAACCCGATAAACCCGATAAACCCTATAAAACCCTATAAACCCTATAAACCCCATAAACCCTAAACCCCAAGCCCTAAACCCTAAACCCTGGGTTGGTTTAGGGTTTAGGCGGCTTATACTTCCGGGTTCGGGGCTGCAATTCAGGAAGTTGTAGAGGCTCATTAAACCCCCTCACATCCTTAAACCCCTCAGGCCCTAAACCCTAAAACCTTAACACTGTAAGGATTTGAGAAGGAGTTGGAAAGAAACTCCCGAACTGTATACCCAACTAGGGTTTATGACCTCAGCATTATGAAAGACGAAATTGACATGAAAAATCCATTGAAAATGAACCTGTAACGTACGACTATAGAATGCTTGACAGCAGGACGAAAGCTCTTGATGAACTTGTTTGACCAAATGATGATATAACAAGTGAAGATGAAACAAATAGTTTAGTTCAAGCTGACAACCAATGATGGTAATCTACCTGAAGCAAGTGGCTGGCAACGATCAAAAGTTCATGAACATGAAGCAACTGAAGTTAAAGTTGAACCAAATGACGCAGTTCAGAAAATGATGCTAGCAATACTGAAGTTGCTATGAGTGAAGATGATGTAAAACTAACCCTAAACCCTAAACCCTAAGCCCTAAGCGCTAAACCCTAAACCCTAAACCCCAAACCCTAAACCCTAGACCCTAAACCCAAGCCCTAATAGGGTTTAGGGGTTTGCAAAGGCCTTACCGCCAGATCCGATGGATGAGAGCAGGCGCACATGTCTGCCGGCATAGTGGGGTACTATAGGGGTCGGAATTACTTAGGTTTTTGGGTTTAGGGCATAGGGTTTAGTTAAGGGGTTTAGGGTTTTCGGGTTTTAGGGTTTTAGGGTTGGGAAGCTTTGGCTTTGACATGCGTAATTGGTGTCTGGAGCTTTGCTGTACGTGCTTTGGAGAGCTTTGGCTCTAGGAGATTCTGCAGCTAAACCCTAAACCCTAAACCCTGTTCAAGTGGCTTCTGTGGCCTTACGGGGTTTCAGGGGGTGTCGGGTTTTGGGGTCAAGGGTTTGGTTTGCGGCCTCGGGTCTAAGGTGTGGGTTTTGTTTTGGGGCTTGGGAATCTGGGGCCGAGGAATGTGCAAAGGGTTTCAGGTTTGGGGTTTAGGGTTAGGGTTTAGGGTTTAGGGTTTAGGGTTTAGGGTTTAGGGTTTAGGGTTTAGGGTTTAGGGTTTAGGGTTTAGGGTTTAGGGTTTAGGGTTTAGGGTCTAAGGTTTAAGAGGCTTGGGGTCGAAGGTGCATTCTTCGGGGTCTAATGAGTTGTTGGGCTCGTTCCTTTGGTGCTGACCCTAAACCCTAAACCCTAAACCCTACGCCCTAAACCCCAAACCTGTTCAGGCCCTCTAAAGCCTTGAAAGCCCGTGAAAAAAGCCTTGAAAGCCCGTGAACAAACGCCTTGCGCACAGACCGTCACAAACCGTCACAAATCCATGAAGCAAACCCATAGCTACCACTCGCTTACGAATTCCCCAATGAAAACAGATATTCATCCCTATCTTGCCCTTATAAGCAAGATTGTATATATATATATATATATATATGTATATATGTATACATACACATATATATATATATGTTTTTCTTTGGGGGGGGGGGGGGGGGGGGTGTGGGGGGGGGGGGGTGGGGGGGGGGGGGGGGGGGGGGGGGGGGGGGGGGGGGCGGGGGGGGGGTGGGGGGGGGGGGTGGGGGGGGGGGGGGGGGGGGGGGGGGTGGGGGGCGGGGGGGTGGGGGGGGGGGGGGCGGGTGGGGGGTGGGGGGGTGGTGGGGGGGGGGGGGGGGGGGGGGGGGGGGGGGGGGCGGGGGGGGGGGGGGTGGGCGGGGGTGGGGGGGGGGGTGGGTGGGGGGTTGGGGATGGGGGGGGGGGGGGGGTTGGGGGGGGGGGGGGGGGGGGGGGGGGGGGGGGGTGGTGGGGGGGGGGGGGGGTGGGGGGTGGGGTGGGGGGGGGTGTTTGGGGGGGTGGGGGGGGGGGGGGGGGGGGGGGGGGGGGGGGGGGGGGGGGGTGAGTGGGTGGGTGGGGGGGGGGGTCGGAGGGGGGGGGGGGGGGCTGTGGAAGTGTACTCAAGCCCGCAACAACTTACGAACTGCGACTGCGCCTTGTCAGGGAGGTCCTGGGGACCTTCGCGTGGACGACGGCAAGCGCCGGGGCCCTGTCCTGTATGGTTTGGGTTCGGTCAAGGGTTAGTGTTTTGGGAGGGTTTAGGGTTTGGGGTTGTGGGGGGTTAATGGTTTAAGGGTTCTGGTTCTTGGGTTTTAGGGTTTAGGGACGCTTGAACCCTAGACCCCAGACCTTCCTTCCCTCCGCTTGGAGGGTTTCAGGGCAAAACCAAACCCAAAAAGGCCCAAAACCCTCAACCCTCAAACCCTCACACCCTCAAACCCTCAAACCCTCAAACCCTCAAACCCTCAAACCCTCAAACCCTCAAACCCTCAAACCCTCAAACCCTCAAACCCTCAAACCCTCAAACCCTCCAACCCTCAACCCTAAACCCTAAACCCTAAACCCCAAACCCTAAACCCTAAACCCTAAACCCAAACCCTAAACCCTAAACCCTCAACCCTCAAACCTGGAACCCAAGCCCTCAACCGTGAAGATCCCGAAGCCTCAACCTACGCCCTCGACCCCAAACCCCAACCCTCAACCCCTCAAGGTTTAGGGTTTAGGGTTTCGGGTTTAGGGTTTAGGGCACTGTACATCTAGGGGCACATGCTGTGCTTTATTCCTTCATAAACCCTAAACCACCCTAAACCACCCTAAACCACCCTAAACCACCCTAAACCACCCTAAACCACCCTAAACCACCCTAAACCACCCTAAACCCTAAACCCTAAAACCTAAACCCTAACCCTACACCCTAAACCCTAAACCCCAAACCCTAAACCCTAAACCGCCTAAACCCTAAACCCTAAACCCTAATACATAAGAACCAGTAGGCCCGAAGCTCCCAGGATTGGGACGACTGACCGTGCAGTTGCCACCCTCCAGTACGTCTCCACTTGCGGCGCTGCCCCCAAGGCCGTCTGAACCCCAAACCCTAAACCCTAAACCCTAAACCCTAAACCCTAAACCCTAAACCCTAAACCCTAAACACTAAACCCTAAACCCTAAACCCTAAACCCTAAACCCACATCTAACGTAGGGCTGCTGCCGCCATTGACCTGCCGACTAAGAGACTTCCCCACATGCGGCCCAGCAGCTTGAGCCCATATCTCTTGACACTCGCTCCTCATCCTTGAGCTGCTCTTGGGGTTTTGGGGTGCTTTTGGGGGGTTTAGGGTTTAGGGTTTAGGGTTTAGGGTTTAGGGTTTAGGGTTTAGGGTTTAGGGTATAGAGTGTGGAGTTGAAAGGTTGGGGTTTAGGGTTTTGGGAGTTTTGGGGCTGAGGTCTAGGGTTCCTGCTGCCTTGCTGCAGGCGATGCCGCCTCCCAGAATTCAAAGCTGGCGGCTGCGGAGGTTTAGGATGCTGCGAACCCTGAGAACCCTCATAGCTCGAATAGCCCTAAACCCTAAACCCTAAACCCTAGACACTAAAAGCACCCTAAGGCCCAAACCCACGCAAACCCTCAAGCCCTAAAACCTGAACCCTTAATTCCTGAACCCTTAAATCCTGAACCCTAACTTCTGAGCCCTAAAATTCTGAACCCTAAACCCTAAACCCTTAACCCCAACCCCTAATCCCTAAACCCTAAACCCTAAACCCTAAACCCTAAACCCTAAACGTGGAGATGTCAGCTTTGGGCCCATCGTGCAGACGGATCGCTGCGAAGCTAACGCACCGAAAAATGGGGTTTAGGGTTTAGGATTAGGGTTTAGGGTTTAGGGTTTAGGGTTTAGGGTTTAGGGTTTAGGGTTTAGGGTTTAGGGTTTAGGGTTTAGGGTTTAGGGTTTAGGGTTTAGGGTGGCTTGGAACAGGAGGTTTGGGGTTTAGGGTTTAGGGTTTAGGGTTTAGGGTTTAGGGTTCAGGGTTCAGGGTTCAGGGCTTAGGGTTTAGGGTTTAGGGCTTCTGGTCTTGGAGTCCAGGCCCTAAGGCCCTACACCCCCGAAACCCTCCTTGAGCTTGTCAGACCTTAAACCGTAAGCCCTAAGCCCTAAGCCCTAAGCCCTAAGCCCTAAGCCCTAAGCCCTAAGCCCTAAGCCCTAAGCCCTAAGCCCTAAGCCCTAAGCCCTAAGCCCTAAGCCCTAAACTTTAAACCCTAAACCCTAAACCCTAAACCCTAAGCCCCTAACCCCTAAGCCCAAACCTGAAGCCATCCTTCCTTGCACTGATTCTGCTTGTGTGCGTGTTGTTTCCACGCGAGGTCATCCGAGCATTTGCTCAAAAGGGGCCTACAGTGTAGACGTGTGAACCAGCTCCCTTCCCAGATTCGGACGATGGAGGTTCATGACGTGACCGGAGTGAGGATCAGGGACCGACGCAACGCCGGAGACCCGCTTGTGGACTGCGATGTGATGCTGGGGCTTATTCATTTGGGCTAGTTTTGGGGAGTTTAGGGTTTAGGGTTTACGGTTTAGGGTTTAGGGTTCAGGATTTAGGGCTTCGGGTTTGGGGTTTGGGCAAGCCCTAGTCAGCTCAGGATTGACATGTACGTCCGCATGAACCTGGACAAGATGATCGAGCCCCGGACGTAAGATCTGAACATTTTTGTTCAAGACTGGGTCCTTTTGGTGGGTGGGGCTGTCAGAAACCCACAGGCGCCTATTAAACCCTAAACCCAAAACCCCAAACCCTAAACCCTAAACCCCGGTGTGGAACAGCCCTGCATCTTGCCGAGAAACCTCCATAAAAGTTCCATCCCGGAGCTGGGTGCCATCGGCTCCAGGACAAGCCCAAAGCACACCCTGCTGGGGTTTAGGGTTTAGGGTTTAGGGTTTAGGGTTTAGGGTCTAAGGTGGGTTAAGCAACTTAGTTTAAGCGAGCAAGGAATCTACCAAGCAAGGAGCCCATACCATGACTATTTGAAGCAGGGTATATACTACTGTTATTGGTGAGTGTACATAAGGTTCCTTTTCATATTGGTGAGTGGGTGGCCTTTTGGGGATACAAGAAATACCCTAAACCCTAAACCCTAAACCCTAAACCCTAAACCCTAAACCCTAAACCCTAAACCCTAAACCCTAAACCCTAAACCCTAAACCCTAAACCCTAAACCCTAAACCCTAAACCCTAAACCCTACTTCATTTCCCAGAAGCTCAGAGCCAAGGAGATCAATGACGTGAAGCAGACCTTCAAGGTTCGACAGAGAGCCTCAACCCTCTGAACCTGTCAGGGTTTCAGGGTTTAGGGTTTAGGGTTTAGTGTTTAGGGTTTAGGGTTTAGGGACCTGCGTCCCAGGAGCCGTCTGAAGAACATGTGCCCACGCATAGAACGCTAGGCCCTCTGATCTTGACCGATCTCAAGCCCCCCCTTAAACCAATCCTGACCCCCCCCCCCCCCCTCCCCGCCGCCCTCCCATAAACCCTAAACCCCAACCGCAGACCCTACACCCCGAAGCCTAACCCTAAACCCTAAACCCGAAACCCTAAACCCTAAACCCTAAACCCTAAACCCTAAACCCTAAAAGCACACTACATCCCCCGAATCCAAGGCTGAAACCCTCAATTCCAAACCCTCAACCCACACGCCCGTGAACATGAGGAAGCCAAAGCCCAAAACCTGGAACCCCAAATCCTTGAGCACTAAAGGGTTTAGGGTTTAGGGTTTAGGGTTTAGGGCAAACCCGAAACCTCAGTAGCCATGAGTGCCCCCCAAGCCCCGCCAGGCCCAGTACTACTTCGAAGCCTGCACGCGCGTCCCCACCACCGACCCCAAGCGCGTCAAAGAGGTGGCTGGAGGGTTTAGGGTTTAGGGTTTAGGGCTTAGGGTTTAGGGTTTAGGGTTTAGGGTTTGGGGTTTGGGGTTTGGGTTTAGGGTTTAGGGTGCAGAGTCAGTGGGGTTCATCTGACTTAAGGCTACGTACGGGCATTTTTGGTATCCCTTAAAGTTTGCGGAACATACAAAGGGTCAAAGAAGCCCTTCCTTGGAACAACCTCCAGCCAAATATATACGCCTTGATAATTAGAATAGGGTTTTGGGGGTTATTATTGTGTACTTATTAAGGGACCATAAGAGAATACTATTAGTAATTTTTCCGACCCCCTTTTTTGGATCCTAGATACCTCCGGTGGGCTCACCATAAGCCCTGCAAGCCCTTTAAACCCTGTATACCCTATAAACCCTGTATTCTCTATGAACTCTCTCAACCCGAAACCAACAAACAAAGTATGGCCTCAGGGCCACTCAGGTCGTTTAGGGTTTAGGGCTCAGGGTTTGGGGGTGGTTAGGGTGGGTTTAGACTTCGAAGGCCTAAAATCCTCAACGCCCCAACTTTTTCAGTGGTCTTGTGGGTTTAGGGTTTGGGGTTTAGGGTTTATTGTTTAGGGTTTAGGGTGAGCCAGTCTCCAATCTTGGGCTGTCATGTGGGGAGTTTGCGGTTCGCAGGACAAGGTGTTTCTGTTGGTGGGGGTCTCCGCCATTTGCATGGCTCTATGACGGCATGCTTCTTATAGATTTGGGTGCCAAAAGCAGGACACAGAAGACACGCTAACTTTGTCTCGATTTTTGTGTCTGACTTCTAGTTGAGGATACCTAGAAATGGCCCAGGATGCCCGACCCCTAAACCCTAAGCCCTAAACTCTAAACCCGACAACACCCTAAACCCTAAACCCTAAACCCCAAGCCCTAAACCCTAGACCCTAAACCCTAAACCCTAAAACCTAAACCCTAAACCCGAAAAACCCTAAACCCGAAAAAGCCCTAAATCAACCCACATCAACACATGACCAGGTCCGTGCTTTCCTGCAGAGGTTCACGGACGCTTGGCACTTGCATCTGACAGCAACAGCCGCCAAAAAACCCAGAGCCACCCTAACCCTAAGCCCTAAACCCTTAGCCCTAAACCCTAAACCCTAAACCCTAAACCCTAAACCCTAAACCCTAAACCCTAAACCCTACACCCTAAACCTTGAACCCTAAACCCTCAGCCCTAAACCCCTAAGCCTAAACCCTAAACCCTATGCTCTCAGCCATCGAGCGCAAAACCCTACGACCCAAATCTTGAAACCCTAAAGCTAAGCATGGGCTGACCTATTTACGCAACGGAGCCTCCACCAACGCCCTAAACCCGAAACGTCTTCAACCATAAGCCCCTCTTCCACAATGTACCCTAAACCCCAAACCCCAAACCCCAAACCCCAAACCCCAAACCCCAAACCCCAAACCCCAAACCCTAAACCCTTAATCCTAAACCCTAAACCCTAAACCCTAAACCCTAAACCCTAAACCCTAAACCCTAAACCCTTCCATCGCCTGAGGACAGCAGCCACCTGGTTGTGGAAAACATCGTGGATCCTTTGGACGGGCCCTCTTTGAAGCCGAAGCTGGAGGAGAAGATGGACGCCAAAGGTGCCAGCATGAGCCGGTTTGGGGTTTCGGGTTCAGGGTTTAGGGTTAAGGGGGTTTAGGGTTTAGGGTTTAGGGTTTAGGGTTTAGGGTTTAGGGAGGGGGGGGGGCTTAGGAACAGTGAAAACCTTGTCTAAGAACGTGGTGTTCCGGCGGTAGGGTAGCTTAAGTTTCTTAACTTCCATGGCCATGTACCTCTGGCAAGGGAAGCTCAGAAACCCTAAACCCTAAACCCTAAACCCTAAACCCTAAACCCTAAACCCTAAACCCTAAACCCTAAACCCTAAACCCTAAACCCTAAACCCTAAACCCTAAACCCCAATCCCTAAGCAGGACCTCCTTAATCACTTAGGGTTCTTGGCGCCGGAGAATGAAGTAGTGAGGCAAGCGACATTGCAACCAAGCACACCCAGATCAATTTGCTCTCTAGCGGCCCGGGGAGGGGTTCTTCATGAAGAGTTACGTTACATCCCTTGGTGTTGCGCTCAAACCCCTGAACCCTGGAACTGGACCCAGACCCCGACCCTGACGCCCCCTCGACCCTAAACCCTGGACCCTAAACCCAAAAGCCCTGACACCGTAAACCCTAAACCCTAAACCCTAAACCCTAAACCCTAAACCCTAAACCCTAAACCCTAAACCCTAAACCCTAAACCCTAAACCCTCAACCCTGCAGGCCAGATGCACAAGATGACGCTTACCTGGAAGATCGCTGGCGAGTTCTCTGCAGCCTGAGTTGCACGGAGCTTGCGTCTTTACCAGCGTACACTTACCCTAAACCCTAAACCCTAAACCGTAAACCCTAAACCCTAAACCCTAAACCCTAAACCCTAAACCCTAAACCGCTAAAGCCCCTAAACTCCGAAACGTCTAAACGCCTAAACCCCTGAACCCTACACCCTAAACCGCACAAGCATGATCCAGAAGCCTAGGTAGTCACCATCACTATCCTCTATGTTCCCCAACATGCGGTATATAAGCGGTAAACAGGGCCCCCTTATTGGGTTTAGGGCCACCTCTGCATCCTTTACACCCCTTCAAAGGCCACGGAAACAAACACTCTCAAAGAAACCTTCAAAGCTCCTGGAGCCAGAAACCCCGAAACCTCTAAATGCGAAATCCCCAATCCCTAAACACTAACGCCCCGCAACGCCAAGCCTTCAACACAAGTGTAGTTACAACCCACGTATAAGCCCCTTAAGTACCCTAATTAGGTTATACTTGGGTGATAAATACAGGTAGAATTGGGTTACTAAGTACCATGAATCTCCAAGCAATCCCTAAACCCTAAACCCTAAACCCTAAACCCTAAACCCTAAACCCTAAAGCCTAAAGCCTAAAGCCTCCTGTCGTGCTAAGGAGTGCCTCCAGCACCAGAAGTTCCCCTTCGATTGCCAGGACTTCACCTTGACGATTCTCGGACGTTTTAGGGTTTAGAGTCTAGGGTTTGGGGTTTAGGGTTTCGGGTTTAGGGTTTAGGGTTTGGGGTTTAGGGTTTGGGGTTTAGGGTTTCGGGCTTAGGGTTCAGGATTTCGGGTTTCAGGGCTCAACCTTCAGGGCATAGGGAGCGGGTTGTAGGGGGCTTTTGTTTTAAAGGTTGTTTGGGTGTTGGTCCTTCTTTTGGGGGTCCGATGTGTAGTTATTTCGAGTTCTAGGGTTTTAGGATAGTGTTTAGGGTTTTTCGGCGTTAAGGTTTCAAGGCTTCAGGGGTTAAATGAGAAGAGTTTAAGGGTGTAAGGGTTGAGGGTTGAGGGTTGAAGGTTAGAACAGTTACCCTGCACCCTACACCCAGAACCCTCAGCCCGCTGAAGTAGGGTCGGGGGTGCAGGGGTGAGTTTGGGCTTTAAGGCTTTCGGGCTTCAGGGTTTTGGCGTTCAGGGTTTAGGGCTTCAGGGCTTTGGGGCTGAGGGTTTAGGGGTTTAGAGTTTCAGGTTTAGACATAGGCTTCGGCGCATGAGAACATTCAACCCTAAACTTTAAGCCCTAAGCCCTCAGCCCATAACCCAAAACCCTAAACCTAAGCCCGAGACCCGAACCCTAAGCCCTAAACCCTAAACCCTAGCCCTAAACCCTAAACCCTAAACCCTAAACCCTAAACCCTAAACCCTAAACCCTAAACCCTAAACCCTAAACCCTAAACCCTAAACCCTAAACCCTAAACCCCTAACCCTAAACCCTAAACCCTAAACCCTAAACCCTAAACCCTGAACCCTGAACCCTAAACCCTAAACCCTAAACCCTAAACCCTAAACCCTAAACCTAAACTCTAAACCCTAAACCCTAAACCCTGGCCTGCCGAGGTTGTGCTTCTGGAATGCCTGCAAGGACTCGGTAGCCCAGCGGTGCTCTGTTGCCACTTGTGGGGGTTCTGGGTCCCCGAGTAAAGGTAGCCCTAAACCCTAAACCCTAAACCCTAAACCCTGAACCCTGAACCCTAAACCCGAAACCCTAAACCCTAAATCCGAAACCTAAACCCTAAACCCTAAACCCTAAACCCTGAACCCTGAGCCCTGAACCCTAAACCCTAAATCCTAAAACCTAAAACCCTAAACACCCTCATTATGATGTGGTCCAAGAGGAAGACAAGCTGCAGTTTCGCTTCATTGACTCCAAGAACTCTTCGGCCACTCGCAGCTTCCGCTAGTAGGGTTTCTAGGGTTCAGGCTTTAGGGTTTAGGGTTTGGGGTTTAGGGTTTGGGGTTTAGGGTTTGGGGTTTAGGGTTTAGGGTTTGGGGTTTAGGGTTTGGTGTTCAGGGTTTGGGGTTCAGGGTTTAGGGTTTGAGGTTTGAGATCTAGAGTTCGGGGCTGGCACAGGATTCTGAACATGATTCTCAAAGCCTGCGGGTCGAGGCTCTAAGGGATAAGCGCTCCGGCCTAAACCCTGAAACTTTGAGTCCTAAACCCTACAACCCTAAAACCCTTTCAAACCCTCTAAAACCCTCAAACCCTCAAGCTCTCAAACCCTAAAATTGAAACCCTCAAACCCTAAAATCCTAAATTCCTAAAACCCTAAACCTAAACCCTGACCTCTAAACCCTAAACCCTGAAGCCGAAACCCTACGCCTCAATCCAAAACTAGAACCCTAAACCCTACATCGTAAGACCCTAGAACCTATAGTAGGTGAGTGGTCGCTACCGTCGAGCGGCAGACCCCGAATGCATGGCCCAAAGGCCACAACAGCCCGAACGCCCAATATGAAAAGAACGGAACACGAAAGCCCTTAACCCTCAAACCTCTACAGTAAACCGTAAACCCTAACCCTAAACCCTAAACCCTAAACCCTAAACCCTAAACCCTAAACCCTAAAGCCTAAACCCTAAACCCTAAACCCGCCCTCCACCCCACTCTCTTCTTTTGGGGTAGGCGGGGGCGCTGGTCGAGCGCTCAGCGAGACCCTGCGAGGGAGCCCCAGGCGGGCGACCGAGCTTGCCTCCAGGCTGGCTTACCCTCCAGGCAGGCACAGGCCGAGTCAGCAGTTGTCACTGTATTATATATTTTAACCCCAAACCCCACACTGTCCGCGCACATTGCTGGGTCCTGCATTGGAGGCCCCCTGGGTGGGCCCCTGGAGACCCCTGGTTCCTCACCCCCGTCGGCTGTGGGGACCAGGGCCGTTTTGTTGGGACCCTGCCCTGGCCTTGGTCCTGGCCCTGGCCTGGCCCTGGCCCTGCCTGGCCTGGCCCTGGTCCTGGCCCTGGCCCTGGCTGGCTGACCCTCTTGGCCCTGGCTTTGCTGGCCTTGCCCCTTTGCTTTGCCCTCCGCCCAACCCAGCTTGCCTCCAGGCCGCTTATCTCCAGGCAAGCACAGGCCGAGTTGGGTCCTGCATTGGAGGCCCCCTGCATGGGCCTGGAGATCCCTGGGTCCCTCACCCCCGTCCGCTGGGCTGGGCCCCGGCCATCCCTGGCCTTAGCCCCTTCAACCCAAGCTGTCTTCGCTGACCCTGCCTCGCCTTTCCGTCTGCGCATCGCAAATGCCCTGGTCCACGCACCTTGTGGAGGTCCCCAAAAAAGCGTGAGTGCTGACTCATGTGATGCTTCGTAAAAAAACAAAAGGTCTTAACTCCTTGAGAGTTGTAAGTGGGCGGTCTTGGGGTGGGTAGGTCTGCAGACTACCGCGCGCGCCCAAAGCGCGCTTCCGTTTGGCACGCCCTAAACCCTAAACCCCAAACCCCAAACCCCAAACCCCAAACCCCAAACCCCAAACCCCAAACCCCAAACCCCAAACCCCAAACCCCAAACCCCAAACCCTAAACCCTAAACCCTAAAGCCCTAAACCCTACACACTAAACCCTTCAAACCCTCAAACCCTCAAACCCTCAACCCTGAAGGTGATCCTCAACAACTTCCACCTTGGAAACACGTGGAAGCGCCCGTTTCAGAATCGACTCTACATCCACACTGAGCACCTGGGCCTGTTTAGGGTTTGGGGTTTAGGGTTTAGGGTTTAGGGCTTAGGGTTTAGGGTTTAGGGCCTTGACGGGGTTGTAGGAATTAGGGCTTTAGGGCTTTCGGGCTTTAGGGCTTTAGGGTTTAGGGTTCGGGCTTTAGGGTTTGGGGATGAGGGTTTAAGGTTTGGGTGAGCTGCTGCGAAGGTTGGGGGTTTTTGGGGTTGAGCGTTTAGGGTTTAGGGTCGCCTGACGCACCTCTCGACCCTCTAAGAGCCCTGCGCCCTCTAAGAATCTGCAAGCACAACACCTTAAATTCTGATCTCGAACTCCCTAGCACACCCTCTAAGGCGCAAACCCTGAACTGCCACAGTCCCCTAAACCCGTCAACAAAGTACCCAAAACCCAAACCCAGGGTTCAGGGTTTTAAGAGAGAGTCGATAGCACCCACGATGCCCGGTACCGGGCCCGTTCTCCTTGGGGGATGCAGGCAACTGACTTGAGTTTAGGCCGAGCGCCATCGGTTTAAGCGCCGCCCCAGCCCCCCCCCCCCCCCCCCCCCCCCCCCCCCCCCCCCTCCCCCGCACCGCCCAACGGCAGGGGGGCGGCCTGGGCCTTGAGTTCAGCGTTTCGGGCTCGGGGCTAAATAGACCCCCTAAACCCTAAACCCTAAACCCTAAACCCTAAACCCTAAACCCTAAACCCTAAACCCTAAACCCTAAACCCTAAACCCTAAACCCTAAACCCTAAACCCTAAACCCTAAACCCTAAACCCTAAACCCTAAAAACCCTAAAAACCCTAAAAACCCTCAACCCTCAACCCTCAACCCTCAACCCTCAACCCTAAACCCTAAACCCTCAAGACAAAATAAGTAGAATTGTATGTGGTATTATTCTGAATATCCCACTTTTTTTGTCTAAACAGTTGACACCCAACCCTAAACCCTAAACCCCAAATCCCAAACCCTAAATCCTAAACCCTAAACCCTAAACCCTAAGCCCTAAACCTTAAACCCTAAACCCTAAACCCTAAACCCTAAACCCTAAACCCTAAAACCCTAAACCCTAAACCTAAGCCCTAAACCCTAAACCTAAGCCCGCAGCCGAATCCCAGGTTCACCAATGAGGAGACCCACAAGGTGAACAAGAAGTTCCCCCTGCTGAAGGAAAGGATGCCCAGTGGGTTTAGGGTTTAGGGTTTAGGGTTTGGTGTTTGGGGTTTAGGGTTTAGGGTTTAGGGCTTGGGGTTTGGGGTTTGGGGTTTAGGGTTTAGGGTCTTCAAACTCTAGGGGCTTTCAAAGGGGCTTTGAGGGGTTTAGGACTTAGGGTCTAGGGCCCAGGGGTTTTGGGGTTTTGGGTTCTGGGTCTAGGGGTCAGGCTTTAGGGTTTCGGGTATCGGTTGTAGATTTTAGGGTTCAGGGTTTAGGGTTTACGTTTTAGGATGTCTTGAAGAGCTCGCTGCCGCTTCGTTTTAGGGACCCTGGCAGGCCACGGTGCAGATGCAGCGCCTGCCGACCTACTACTTCTACAACATTGCGGCTGGGTTCAGTTTTTTTCTTGGCGCTGCAGTTCCACACTTTAGTTAAATTTTGGGTTTAGGGTTTAGGGCTACTACTTCTACAACATTGCGGCTGGGAAGGGGGTTCAGTTTTGGGTGTGCTTTTTTGTTGTTTGGGGCGACCGTTCCACACTTGAGGGTTTAGGGTTGAGGTTGAGGGTTTAGGGTTTAGGGGTCCCTATTCTGGGTAGATCGCCGTGAAGGTTTTTTGTGTTTTGTTCAGGGTGGAGGGCTCAACGATGGCTAAACGCTGAAGGGTTTCAGCTTCCCTCCAGGAGATTCAGGGGGTACTGTAATGGTATAGAGGGGCTTTTGGGAACCCCAAACAGGGAACCCTCCAGAATACAGTAGGAACATAAAGGGAGTATCAGGTATCTAGGGTTCGTGGGTGCTTTTGCAAGGGTTTAGGGTCTAACAGAAGGGCCTTAAGAATTCGAACAAGGGTTTGGAGGGGGTTATTGCAGTACACAGGGACTAGAAGCGACTACTAGGAGTAATTATTCTGACCCCTAAATTCGGGTTTAAGGATTCGTGAGAACTGGCTGGTTCTTAGTCCGAGGGAATGAGGTGCCCTATATACTCCCTTAAAGGGTATACATACGCCCCTAGTTCCCTCATTCCCAACTAAGAACCCTAAACCCTAAACCCCAAACCCTAATCCCTAAACCCCAACCCCAAACCCCAAACCCCAAACCCCAAACCCCAAACCCCAAACCCCAAACCCTAAACCCTAAACCCTAAACCCTAAACCCTAAACCCTAGGTAGGGGGAGAAATTTTTCGCCCTTCAACTCTGAATGCTCTTCTTGATCCTTCCAAGGATCGGGGAAGATGTCGGGTGGAGGGTGGCTAGACTCCTCAGCCCCCTCAGAACCCTAAACCCTAAACCCTAAACCCTAAACCCTAAACCCTAAACCCTAAACCCTAAACCCTAAACCCTAAAGCCCAAACCCCAGACCTTAAACCCCAAACCCTAAACCCTAAACCCCACACCCCAGACCCTAAACCCCAAACCCCGAACCCTAAACCCTTTTCTTGTCTAACCCAGGTGCTGCCCATGTTCGCCATGGTGTGCCTAAGCTGCTGCACCATGGTCACTAGGTTGGTGTTTGGGACATGTTTGTGTTTTCCTTATTAGGGTTTAGGGTTTAGGGTTTGGGTTTAGGGCTATTTAAATGTTTTCATTGCTTACACGAGACCCTATGTATAAATATTTCCTTATATGGATTTATAAGGGGCCCTATATAGAAATGGTTTTCCTTATTTGGGTTTATAAGGAACCCTCCATATGAGTAGTTTCCTGATTTGGTTTTATAAGGGACCCTCCATATAAGATTTTCCTTATTTGGGTTTATAAGGGACCCTCCATATAAGTATTTTCCTTATTGGGGTTTATATGGGACCCTATAGATATTTTAAGAGGGTTTTAAGCCCTAAACCCTAAACCCGCCCCTAGACCCTACACCCTAGACCCTAGACCCTAAACCCTAACCCCTAAACCACCAACCCAGGTCATTCCCATGGAGTTCATCGGGGATCGCTTGTCGGCCTCCTTGTTCCTCTTGCTGACGTCTGTGGCTTTTAAGCCGCCGGGCTCGGAAAGCCCTAAACCCCAGACCCTAAACCCTAAACTCCAAACCCCAAGCCCTAAACCCTAAACCCCAAACCCCAAACCCTTGACCCCAATCCCCGGTTGCGAAAAAGGTTCGTCATCGCTCAGATGACTCCCCGAGTCGGCTACAACACATGGCTCGACTGGTACCTGGCATATGGATGTAGGAATTTAGGGCTTACGGCTTAGGGTCTAGGGTTTAGGGTTTAGGGCTTGGGGTTTGGGGTTTGGGGTTTAGGGTTTGGGGTTTAGGGTTTAGGGTTCTGGGGTTGTAGGGTTCTAAGAGTTCTGGGGTTCTGGGGTTCTAGGGTTGTCCTAACTCACATACAACGCTATGCCACCCCATACAAGTTCTAACCTAATTCTAATGTCGCGCGGCATGAGGCTATATAACCCTCTGTAACCTTAATCATCGCCCACAGGCAATGAATTATGGCCCCTACACCCGAAACCTTAAACCCTAAACCCAAAATCCTAAACCCTAAACCCTAAACCCTAAACCCTAAACCCTAAACCCCAGGTACGTTCTCGTCTGCTGGCTCTTCCTGGGGCTTGTGGTCGTGGAGAACTGCTTGGCATCCAACCATCCGCACGACACGGAGCTCTTGTTCGCCCTGTTGATTTTCTTCGGCTGCCAAGCATGTCCAGGAACGATTTAACAGGGACAGGGGTTTAGGGTTTAGGGTTTAGGGATAGCGTTTAGGTTTTCGGGTTTAGGGTTTAGGGTTTAGGAATCTTTTGGGGGGTTTAGGGTTTAGGGGTGCTCAGCAGTATCCCTTGTCCTTCCCCTTGTTTCTGTCTCGAAGGGTTTCCGGACCAGTAGTATTCCTTATCCTTCCCCTTACTTCTGCCTGTAAGGGTTCGAAATCCCTTTGCAAAATTCCCTAAACCCTAAACCCTAAACCCTAACCCCTAAACCCTAAACCCTAAACCCTAAGCCCTAAACCCTAAACCCTAAACCCTAAGCCCTAAGCCCTAAACCCTAAACCCTAAACCCTAAACCCTAAACCCTAAACCCTAAACCCTAAACCCTAAACCCTAAACCCTAAACCCTAAACCCTAAACCCGAGTTAGGGGGTGGGCCCTTCGGCTTCCCAGACAGCCGAGGCTTTGGGGTCTGCAACGTGGCCTTTGCGGTGAAGTGGTGCTACGCCTACTTCCGCCCACACTCGAAGCTGAGCCCGCTCCAGTGGTAGGTTTGAGCATTTTTTGTTAAGGGTTTAGGGTTTAGGGTTTAGGGTTTAGGTATACTCCTTATGCAAGCCTTAAGCACTTCATTTTGGTAGGGGCCCCCCCCCAAAACCTACCCCCAGGCTCCTCAACTCCCACGACGACGCCGGGACCTTCGAGCCCTATGAGAAGTCGCGGAGCCCGAAGGGCTCCGACGCCAAGTGCGCCAGGGTTCCGTGCATCCCCGGCTACTAGGGTGGAGCCAATTGCTGAAAAGAGAACCCCCAAAGAATAAGGAATACTCTTCCTTTATAGGAGTTAATAGAGGGGTTCTTATCTTTTTGATATCTTTTGGGGGTTCTGAAGCAAAAAAACTAGGGTGGTGGTGACTTAGGGCAGAGGACAGAGCCCCCAGAATCCCTTGCAGAAAGCTGCAAGGCAAGACAGGTTGGCTTTCGGGATTGTTTTTTTCCACATCTTCCTTACTTGCGGCTTTATACGGGTACATATATATAATATAGGAATAGGAAGTATGCTTGAGAAGGGCTTAAAGAAAGGCCAACCAGGCCCCTGAGATGTCTGGCAGACTCCGGAGAAAAATCGCCAGAGTCTGGAAGCCTGAAGAACCTTCGACCCGACCAGGGGCTCGGGCGGTTTGTGCTGCGGAGTGCCTGCCATGTGGGGAGTTGTCAAAATTATGGTCCCTTTGTGGCTACCCTGTCATATATACGGCACCTAATGTTTAGGGTACCTCAAACGGGATCATCATTTTGACAACCACCCATGTACAATTTGAAACCCAGTTTGAAAGGAGCCTTCGCAAAGTCGCAAAGCAATCTGAAGACCTACCGGCTCTGAGTCAGGAAGGACGGAATGAGGCACCTTGTAATTTTCCCCCTGTCTATTATAACCCTAAACCCTAAACCCGAAACCTTAAACCCTAAACTCTAAACCCTAAACCCTACACCCTATACCCCTTAAGGAACTTCCCTCATTCCCTATTCAGAGCCAGGTAGGAGGACTGCACTGTAGACCTGCTTGCCATCTCGCCCCCGATGCCTCACCAAGAGCGTAGCCCTGAAGGGCTTCATGAGCCGCTGACCGTCGTCTGAGCCCGAAGCCCCGAAGCCCTCTACACCCCCAAACCCTGAAGTTTAGGGTTTAGGGTTGAGGGTTTAGGGTTTAGGGTTTAGGGCTTAGGTTGCTATGGCCCAATTCCTCAGCCTCTTATCGCGGCTGCACTTGTTGAGGGACTGAAGGGCGCCCTCCTCTTTTTTCTGACCGCCTAGTTTCGAGGGATGAAGACTCGTGCCCCAAAGGTTTAGGGTTTAGGGTTTAGGGTTTAGGGTTTAGGGTTTAGGGTTTAGGGTTTAGGGTTCTCTGAATATGGCCCTTATGTTCTTGAAAATGGATCCCCAAACCCAAGGGTACAACCTTAGGCGTCCAAGGTAGGGTTTAGGGTTTAGGGTTTAGGGTTTAGGGTTTAGGGTTTAGGGTTTAGGGTTTAGGGTTTAGGGTTTAGGGTTTAGGGTTTAGGGTTCAGGATTTAGGGTTTAGGGTTTAGGGTTAGAGTCCCTTGATAGGTGGTCTCCCGGTTCTTCCCTCTTGAAGAGATGGGATCTGCCAAGACCCAGGGGCATCAGAGGATGCCCCCTCCAAGCTCTGCACTTGAGACAAAACATGCCCTAAACCCTAAACCCTAAACCCTAAACCCTAAACCCTAAACCCGAAAACCCTAAACCCTAAACCCTAAACCCTAAACCCTCAACCCTAAACCCTAAACCCTAAACCCTAAACCTTGAACCCTGGGAAACCCTAAACATGCTCCTAGAGATCCAGGTCATCAGGGCTTCGGGGGGTTCGGAGCTTTAGGGTTAAGGGTTTCGGGGGGTTTAGGGTTCAGGGTTTGGGGGGTTTAAGGTTTTGGGGTTTTGGTGACGAGCCCCCTGTATCACCCAAAAACAGCAGCCTGAGAGGATACGGGGTTTAGGGTTATAGGCATCTCTAGGGCGCAGAGGGGTTTAAGGGCCCATATTATCCCAAATCCCTAAACCTAAAGCCTAAACCTTATAAACCCTGTAAACCCTAAAACCTACAACTAACCCTATACACCCCCAAAAACCCTATAAACACCAAAAACCCTGTATAAACCCTGTATAAACCCCAAAAACCCTAGATAACCCCCATAGGCCCTATAAACCCCATAAACCCTTCATAAACCCTATAAACCTTATAAACCCTGCAAACCTACAAACCCTACAAACCCTGAACCCTGAACCCTGAACCCTAAACCCTAAACCCCAAACCCTACACCCTAAACCCTAAACCCTAAACCCTAAACCCTAAACCCTAAACCCTAAACCCTGAACCCTAAACCCTAAACCCTAAACCCTAAACCCTACACCCTACAATCCCTAAACCAACAGGGAACTCATGGACTCGGGCCGCGACGCAGCGTGGCTTGACAAAACATGGAGTTTTCCCACGGCATCCCATGGTTTAGGGATGTAGGGGTTCAGGTGTAGGGTTTAGGGTTTAGGGTTTAGGGTTTAGGGTTTAGGGTTTAGGGTTTAGGGTTTAGGGTTTAGGGTTTAGGGTTTAGGGTTTAGGGTTTAGGTGAGTCCCATACTGGGCTCATCTGTTTAATTGCGGCCGCCGAAAGCCCTGTCCCTTGGGTCATGGCTGCTCTCGAGCTTCCTGCGCCGAGTTGCGGCAAGGCGCGAGGCACCGTAAAGGTGCTAGACCCCTCCCTCTTAGGGTTTAGGGTTTAGGGTTTAGGGTAGTATAAACTCCCCCCCTTACCCGCCTAATAATAAATACTCCTGACAGTGAGAGTATGCTGTTAGACTGTATGGGAGGTATTTAACGCCCCTCCCCCCTACCCTGAGTTATATTAGTGTTAGGGGGTGGGGGGTGGGTTTAAGAATAGGGGAAGGGATTAAATTGGGGGTTTGCGCGATAGCGAGGGACCCCTCAGCAAGCCGCCCCACGCTGCTAAAACCGTTCATATTCTTTTTTGCTGACTTGCGCGTTTGGCATAGGAGGACCACTCGTTTTCGCCACCTCGTTTTGTATGTAACTTTTAAACAGCAAAAACGTAGGTTTTCGATGTTTGTTTTTTTCACGCGAGCATTCGTGCGTCCGCTGTTTCGGATTGCGTTTTGAGTGTGCAAGAGATTTTCGTGCTTGCACAGTTGCAGTTACGATTTATGGGTATGTCCAGGCGTCGTGTGTGCGGCCACTACGCCCGCCAGCCTCGACGTCCAAGCCACGAGGCTTTTCCAGGCAGAGAGGGTTTTGGGGTTTAACTAGTTTTACCTCGAGCCCGTCAAGTACCCCTTAAGATACCCCAGATAAGAATGAGGACTTTCAGGGGTTATTGAAGATGACCACTTTTCGGGCTCTACTCTTTGCTGAAAAGACCCCCCCCCCCCCCGCCAAAAAAAAAGAGGATTAGTATTCTCCACTTTGTTGGGGTCTCCTCAAGTTGGGGCCTAAACCCTAAACCCTAAACCCTAAACCCTCAACCCTAAAGCCTAAACCCCAAACCCTAAACCCTAAACCCTAAACCCTAAACCCTAAACCCTAAACCCTAAACCCTAAACCCTAAACCCTAAACCCTAAACCCTAAAGCCTAAACCCTGAACCCTAAACCCTAAACCCTGTTCTTCAGCAAATAGTAGGGCTTCGGTGGTTTGAGGTCGGGATCGGGCTTTCGGGGTTGACCGTAGACCATGGGATATTATCCCTAAACCCTCAACCTAAACCCGAAACCCTAAGCCCTAAGCCCTAAACCCTAAACCTTAAACCCTAAACCCTAAACCCTAAACCCTAAACCCTAAACCCTAAACCCTAAGCCGACATTATTGCAAGGCTTTCTTGGGAGCCATGAAGCCAGGAGCCAAACAAAATGAAGGCACAACTTCGACATGCTCTCAGTTCGGGGTCCCTTGAGGGTGGGACCCTAAGCCCCAAAACCCTAAACCCTAAACCCTAAACCCTAAACCCTAATCCCCAAACCCTAAACCCTAAACCCTAAACCCTAAACCCTAAACCCTAAACCCTAATCCCTAAACCCTAAACCCTAAACCCTAAACCCTAAACCCTAAGCCTTAAGCCGGAAAACCTTAAGCCCTGACCCCCAAGAATGCCGTAGTTGTTTTTGACAAGGACTGAAGTGTAGCATCCAAGCCTTGAAACCTAAACTCGGCCGAGGGTTTAGGGTTTAGGGTTTAGGGTTTAGGGTTTAGGGTTTAGGGCGAGGCGCTCCCGAACTCTGAGCCTGCCTACGGCGAGTGCCCTGGCGGTGCTCGGTGCGGCTGCGCTGCGGAAGCGTCGAGGCGCGCGGCATTGTAAGGAGGCGTGTTCCACTTGCACGGAAACCCTAAACCCTAAACCCTAAACCCTAAACCCTAAACCCTAAACCCTAAACCCTAAACCCTAAACCCTAAACCCTAAACCCTAAACCCTCAACCCTAAACCCTAAACTCTAAACTCTGTGAAGCGCTGCAAGGACGACTCCATATCCACTAAGCTATGTCGTCATCCCTCGACTAGCTTCCTTCTTACAGTCGGTCAGTAGGGAATGGGTGAATATGAGGTGCCCTATAACATCCCGTAAAGGGCCTACATACCCTCTAACCCTAAACTCGAAACCCTAAACCCTAAACCCTAAAGACCCTAAACATACACAGCCTTGCCAGTGACGCGCCGCGCGCTTACGCCCCTGGCGGAGCGGCTGTTCAGCCAAGGCTTCTCGAGGCCCGCCACCTTCACTGGGGCTTGGGGCTTGGGGTTTAGGGTTTAGGGTTTAAGGTTTAGGGTTTGGGGTCTAGGGTTTATGCAAACAGTCACTCGGACGGTCTCGAAGCATCCACTTGGAGACTGAACTACAGAATAAATTACCAATTGGAAAAATTAGCGATTCGATACGCTATGATGCTAGAGCCACAACCATGACATGAGGGTTTAGCTTAGGGTTTCGGGGTTAGGGTTTAGGGTTTAGGGTTTAGGGCTCAGGATTTAGGTTTTAGGGTTTAGGATTTAGGGCTTAGGCTTCAGGGTTTAGGGCTCAGGATTTAGGTTTTAGGGTTTAGGGCTTAGGGTTTAGGGATTGGGGCTTGGGATGTAGGAGCCGTAGGGTTCGGAAGGTGGAGTTTGGGGGTTTAGGGTTTAGGGTTAAAGGGTTTCAGAGGGTCATTTTGAGGTTTGACTTTGCTCTTTTGCCAGGGTAACCCTGTAACCCTGAACCCTTG